GTAAGTAAGTAAGTAAGTAAGTAAGTAAGTAAGTAAGTAAGTAAGTAAGTAAGTAAGTAAGTAAGTAAGTAAGTAAGTAAGTAAGTAAGTAAGTAAGTAAGTAAGTAAGTAAGTAAGTAAGTAAGTAAGTAAGTAAGTAAGTAAGTAAGTAAGTAAGTAAGTAAGTAAGTAAGTAAGTAAGTAAGTAAGTAAGTAAGTAAGTAAGTAAGTAAGTAAGTAAGTAAGTAAGTAAGTAAGTAAGTAAGTAAGTAAGTAAGTAAGTAAGTAAGTAAGTAAGTAAGTAAGTAAGTAAGTAAGTAAGTAAGTAAGTAAGTAAGTAAGTAAGTAAGTAAGTAAGTAAGTAAGTAAGTAAGTAAGTAAGTAAGTAAGTAAGTAAGTAAGTAAGTAAGTAAGTAAGTAAGTAAGTAAGTAAGTAAGTAAGTAAGTAAGTAAGTAAGTAAGTAAGTAAGTAAGTAAGTAAGTAAGTAAGTAAGTAAGTAAGTAAGTAAGTAAGTAAGTAAGTAAGTAAGTAAGTAAGTAAGTAAGTAAGTAAGTAAGTAAGTAAGTAAGTAAGTAAGTATCCTTATTGTATGACTGTTAAGTAACTACATTATATGTATATTCCTTAATAAGCTTTCATTTGACCTATTGACTATTATCATACGATTTACTATTCTTCAGATAATTCCAATTAATTAGTAACAGTCCATCACAACTACAGCCACTTTTTGGCTTGATCTTGAACAGACGTTATTTTCTATTTTATCACATGATGTGGTCTGATTTATTTGTATATAAACCCAGTATGTTTGAAATATATGATTTGTATCGCGGAGACTGAGATTAGCGTTCTAAACTAACCAGGCAGGGCTAGCCGGAAAAAGGACCGATTGGAACAGTAGGCTTCTCGTACTAGTATATGGGTCATTAGTTGGGTCGTATAAGTCAGCGTATCTAAGTTGGCAATCATATTTCGTAATACTTGTATAGCTAAGGACATAACAGTTATGGTGTTACTGAATTCCAATGATTTCATTAAATGTATTATATTACTTTTCTGTTTACACTTGTAACTTTTCTACAGAGACAATTCACCAAGTATTAAACCTGAAAAGAAAACATAAAATTTCCAATTATCTTGTTTTGTATTGAGAACGTGCAAGCTAACAAGGTCACTTCAGAAGGAGAATAATTCAACTCCCAAGATTGAGATCATATAAAGAAGACCGCATACTTGTATAGAGATTTAATAGCTAATAAACTTAGTTTGTTCTCTAAATGTTCTCTACAAACAAACTACTATTTATTAATTAAGAGTTTTTAAATACTTCGATATGTTCCAGTATCATTGGAGATATGTTATCGTCGAGGTATCAATCGATTGTATGAAACATGTTAAAATTAATGTTTCGCATTCATCTTCAACTTTAAACATATGAAGACGTAATGAAAAGAACTCAGTCTTATATAAAATAAGATAAAAAAATCATTTGGTCAGTTATGACATTGACTATTTATTACTCTGTGATAAGTTAGTGTTCATTTATGTCATAAAAAGAGGGTCAGTAAGACCTTCAATGTCTCATTGAAAATACTTTCAAGATGTTAGATATCACTAGTTAGAACCTCACATCTTGTATCACATTCCTGCCAGCTCCCATGAAACCATCAAACATTGAAACAGAGTACAATATGACGTTGGCTCACTTAGACTGTAGCGAATGCTACTCACAAGATTCATTATAAGTAGTGTGCAACGGAACGGCGCGTGGAAGTTGGTACAGTTGACAGTCAAAGAGGAGAGTTCCACGGGATTAAAAAGCAAACAGAAGGACTCTGGAGAATACTTTGAAGACTAGAAAAGAAGTGAGAGAAGTCAATCTAGAACCAACTTGAATTGCAGAGCATACAAGATGCAAATGGGTGACTAAAGGGTAGGTGTGAATACTGTATGAATATTCTGTAGATTCTGCAACAGGTACCTGGGAAATCGACAATTATTAAAACCCAAACTCATTAGTATTCGAGAACTTAAAATTCTATATGCTGAGCAGGAACATCAAGCTTCGTGAAATAATATGAATTCATTTTATTTCACAGTTGTTGATTCTCTGTTTAAACTTATCATATAATCTTGTTGTATGAAAATCCCATGGATATAGAACGGTAATAATTACTGTAATGTCATAATGTTGAATGTATGTTAGTTTCTGGCCTGACTTATCTGTAATTAATCCAGTTTAACTTGTGTTAACCTAGACTTAAGCTCGAAGCCATATCAATTCCCTTAGACAACTTATATTGACATTTAAATTTAAGAATTTTTATGATCAGGATAAAATACTTTGATTATTGTAATCCTCTTTCTTCCAATTACTCAATATTATATTGTAATCAATGTGACATATACTTATTGCGCAACAAAGCTACTCGATGAGCATTACTCCGTTGTTGTAAATCATATATATATATATACGTAAAACGAAGTTGAAATCTAATGTATGGTTCGGTAATAATATCAATGCATAGGTCAAATAGACAAAGATAATATAAACAAACGGAGACAGGCAAGCATTGATATGCAAAAATCTATTTAGATAGAACATCAAGAATATTGTATGCTTATTTACAATGCTACCACTGTAGTTACGCACCAAAAGTTCATACAAGTGTTTGTATCGGTTTTTTATTACAATTCCTGATAGGGTTGTAAATTGTTATGTTCCAAGTATATATGGGGTGCACTACAAGATCATGAAGGTTAGGTCATTGAAACAGAGAAAAGTTTTATGAAATTACAGTCATATCCACTTTGTTTAATTCATTGAATCTAAATTTGTTTGGGCACGTTGTGCCAATTAGCACTGTCACACGTCCACGTGATTTGTTTTAACGTTCAAACACATTAGTTATTCTAATAAACCCAGTTATTCTGTCACACATATATTTGACCATGTCAAATACTTAAGTGTATTACTGTTTGTAAAACAGTACGTATGAGTTTGTTTACTTGCTGTCTCTCATTCTTAAAAAGATTGAATCACCTGTTATTTGCTAAGTTGGCTGTTTACGCAACATCATCTAATGTATTTCTCCTTGTCTCTGATTACTTCCATGGTTTATCAAATGTCAGAAATACATGTTTCTCAATCACTTACGTATTCGACCTTTGAATCGACGTTATTGTTAACGTGATTTGTCGATAGGGTGTGCCTAGAATTTATGAACAAACCAACCAAAACTAAGATTGAAAGTCATATATTCTGACGCAGACTTCATTCATCCATTTGGTTGAATTGCATTATGGCATTATGGTTGATGTCGATTCATGATGGGAACCTTGACTCTAATACATACCTAACTTTGAATTCAAACTGCTAATTTTAATTCCTCAAATTAATTTACAGCCGTTTCTCAACCCTATTGCATAGGTGAATACCCTCAAGGTCACTTTAACATCACTCAGGTTATCCATAAATTTTAGTGTTACCATTATTCCTAACATTTGCCAAAAATAATCTATAAAATTACTGTTATATATCTATGAATAAAAAACAAATGAGTACGTACTACCCATCTTAATCTCGTTGAAATGCTGAAGATTCACAAAAGTAATTCAAGTTTACTTCATCAAGTGAATTGATTGAAATTAAACATTAACACTTGAATGCTAGCCCAGTAATCTAGAGTTTAACCATTCGCGTGAGACAAATGGTCTTGGATTCAAGTTTTGCGTATGGGATCGTAGATGTGCACTGTTGAGGAGTTCTATACTACGATGAAATGACCATTCAGTGCCTCCAGGTTTTCAATGGCTGTCTAAATTTGATTGATTCATGATCTCAATGAAATTCAACAATCTCCACAACAATATATTGAAAGTTTATGAAGTAAATTTATCAAATTTGCATTTAAAGAGAAAGCCTTATGGAATAGTTCGTTTTGTACAGTTTTAGTGATATGAGTGTATGTATCTCCTATAAGTGTTCAAAGAAATGCAATAGGTAATGAGCAAACATTTGTTTATCTAAATTATATTAAAAACTCGAATCATATAAATTTCAGCAACATCTAAGCACAAAACAAAATTGTTCTCAAAGTCTGATGAAGATATTATTAAGTTATTTGATCCCGTCATATATTTTAACTCTGTCTTTCAACCGGTTATGTTACTCTTCAAGTTTCTCTTATTCCATGTATTTATTCACTTTAACTAACCTTAAATCACTGTATTGTTAATTAACATGACTCAGTTAACTTTTATTGTACCAGCTTACATTAAACTTTATTAATATTTTAACAATTGAATTAATGAGTCGATCTAGGCTAGACTACCATTAAAAACCTGAAAGTACTGAACGTCCATTTCATTCTGAAGTGGGACCACTCAACAGTGCACATCCACGACTGTGCACACGGGACTCGAACTCAGTATCATCTGTCTCACGCACGAACAATTAACCTCTAAACCACTGAGCAGGCATCCAATGGTGTTAATGTTTAACTCCAATAGATTCATGATCTTGTACACATCTTCATCCATTGTCTGAATTTGATGACTGCCTCACACCTGACACGGATTGGATTCCATTGATCATGGCCTACCGAGAATGCTCAACCACTAATCTACAAATCCCCATTTTTTATTTATTAATATTTGTCAATAGCTCAAATAATACTTCAAAATCTTCCACTATATCTATTTCTTGAATTGAAACATTATATTGAATCACTTATAACTTTACACTTAGAATTTTACTAATCTTTACTATTTTATATCAATAGGTGATGATAGTGAAATTCCTAACACAGTTTAATCATTTGTGCAATTGAATATTAACAATGAGAAAATATAAACTTTTTTTAAGAAAAAAATTAAGATATTATTATAATAGTTAAGATCTTGAGTCAGCTGAAGCTAGATTACCATGAATAACCTGAAAGCACTGGTTGGCCGTTTCGTCCTATTGTAATTTTGAGAACTGAATGAAATATTAATAATAAAAAAGAAAATATCACTATGTCATTCTATTTTATTTCTGATGAATGGGCGAGAATGATAATGATTGGTTGTCTGATTAGTCAGACATTTAGATAGTATGATAGGTGTCAGGTGAGTTATATATTCCCTTATCCTTATTATTATTACTCACTCACTCATTGTTGTTGGATTATGTCGAGTTTTTGGTGTGGAAATATATTTACGTTGTGGTCAGGCTCATCACGTGTTCTTGATCTGAGTTGTGTTGAAGTCCTGTAGAATAGACACTGGGAGGGAATCTAGTGTAGATATTCGTCTAAGGTAAATTAACATCCCATGCCTGTGTACATAGTAAAACCGAGCGTTATAACAATTTCATTAACTATTCTTCTAATTGATATAATCATTATGGTGTTAACAGTAGTGTATAGTTTATTGTTCATATTACAAGATTTACATGTAGATTTTTGTTTAAAATTTACAATGATCATTTCAAATTGGTTATGATTGTTAGAAAGTGAAGTAGGATTAATGAGGATAAGAAAATAGTAGTTAGAATATTATTATAGATAAAACTATTCAATTCGATATGATTTAATTCATTGAAGAAAACTTTTCATTACCTCCAGATGAATCTACTTAATTGCGGACAATCTTTATTTGTTCACGATCATTTTTATGACCGTCTACTTTTCCACTTGAGCTGTTATCCTTCCGTTCATTATTATTCGTTCTTAATCTCCATTTTTCATCTCTCTCTTTTTGTGTTTGTAAATCGATATAAAGATGAGTACCATTCGCTTGATAATTACCAGTGTGTTTATATTTACGTTCTTCAATTAAATTACCTTTAGTATCAAATTGGTCATCAACGATCTTTTTGGAATATTTTTTCTTTTTTCCATAAGTTTTGAATTTTGATTTAATAGGTTTCGCTCGACCATATTTATCCAAATTCTCTTCAATTAGAAATTGTGAGGATTCTGACGAGATCATACCATAACCTTTAACTCCACGTGATCGAAATTTCCCTTTTGCATCGATACCTTTAGCTTTCATGCGTTTATATTTATATTTGAAACGTCCTGACCCAATAACTGTCTCTAAACCATTCTCCATACTCTTCCTTCTATTCGATCTAGATTCGTCCTCACTATTATCATTCTCATCTAACGTACTTCTTCTATTTTCATCCTTTTTAAAACTTCTATTACTATCTCTCGAACCAACTTCTACCCCATCCTGTGAGAAAACTGTTGCCACAAATATCAAAAATATCCAGATCATTAATTTCATATTTATTTTCATAAAATAGAAGCCACTTTAGTCAATAATTTATAAATGGACAAATTCTTGTTGAAATAAAATATTTCATTATAATATGATCACTTATAAATAATTTTCAAAGTGCACTCAGTGCACTGTAACAAATCTAATGACTGAAAAAAATGGAACAGCTGACTTGTTGATGCCATTTTATGTTAAATACGAAAGTGACTATTTCAATTAGAACAAATTACACTTCTTTATAATTGCAATATTCATCATCTTACTGATTATATTTTTGATGGAGTTTTGTTCTTTGAGCTGGATGCTTTGGTCGTGGAGCTTTCATCGTTCTTCTGAAAAACATTATCAGCACAAATTTCTACCTGATTATACTTAGAAGACAGGGACACTTTAATTCCTACAATGTAAAGTGAGCATAAAATAAGCTGGTGAAAATGAAGATTTATTAACTCGATAAAACATTTCATCAAAATAAATTATCTGAAACCATATAAGCATTAAACCTAATACATTTTATCTTTATACTGATTTTATACACACTTGATGATTAGTTAAGAGCATTATACAAATAAAAAGATACAAATAGTTACTGTAATTGAGAATAATACAAAGAACGTGACTATTATATTAAAAGAAATTTCACGGCTGACATATTGATCGAGATCCACACTTAATTGATTTCAATGTAGTGAATGAGGACTTGGTGGAGATAACCAATTTACTGTTTGATACAAAATTACAGAGTGCCTTCATAAGATATGAAAACCAAATAAATTATTTACACATCTCCCATCAGTCGTCTTTTACATGTTTCATGATTCATCCAATTTTGTTGCTATTACAATGGCTCACTATTTACCTTCCTGTTCTATTCAATTCATTCGTCTGCTGGCAGGTATTTTATTTCTGATTGGTGCTAGATACTACCTGTTCCTGTCAAAATAAGTAGCATACACAATACAAAGAGCATTGACCTGAAATAATGTTACATTGGTAAATCTGTAACCAATATCCTACTGATCTTGGTGTGGAAATACCATTAAGACAAAATGAATGAGATTCCGAAATCTTATGATAGTATGTGTTATTGGAGGCATTTGATTTAAAATCATTGTGAGAACATGTTACATCGGAAGCGTTCGATTCAGAAATATTATAAGAAATTCGGACAGATTCAGAGGAAGGTTTATGAGAATATAATAAACTATTTACGGCATCAATCTTCTTGATTCAATCTAAGCTTAATTGATCCAAATCATGCTGATTCGTCAGATAACAAGCATCATCAAATTTATGTTCTTTGAACTGCACCTTGTTGCACCTGTTAGTCTCCCTACATCTACTGAGGTATTTCAGGCAACATGTTCCGTTGGCTGAATGTGTAGACATCCTAGCTTTTGCAAATCAGTGTGATGTCGGAAGCCGTATCTAACTGAAGACGAATAGGTTTTCCATTCATTAATAAGTTTACATACTTCCGTTTAATTTGAAAGTCTCAAACATGCTCTTGATTTGACTCTGGGAATGTTGCTTCACCTTTTCCACACGACTTTTTGACGAGAGTTTATGTGATGGGCAGTGACTTTCTTTATGACCAATGCGATGACAATGACGGCAATCGTGCAGTAGTGAACAGAACACGGATGGGGACAATCGAATGTATTTAGCACAAAATTACAGATTTACTTGGTAAAATAGAAAAGCCATATAGCAAATCGTTAATTTACAAAATATTAATCCATCATATCAACCTGGACTGTTTCTGTTGCAAACATCAATCCATTTTCTCACATTCATTGTTCGTGTGGTTTCGTACAACTTACATTGTGTTCTCGCTCTTCCTTTCTTGATCTTCCCCCATCTTCTGCTGCCAGACATTACGTTCCTGACTCGCGTCATATACTACTTACATCAATATAAGTAGCACGCACCACAGTGCTTCTTGACCAAAATAATTTCACAAAATTTTATGCTCCACAAAACCAACATGGTAATGGTGGTTCATCAACAGACTGTTGTGCGTTTCTGAGCTTCGTTTGGGAGATTTAGAGGATTTAACTGTATTTACTGACCCGAAATCGGAAGATTTCACCATCTCTTACACCACCGCGGTATCATGTTTGAGATTTAACAGAGGTTGACACTCGGTTGTGACCATTTGCGAAATCATACTAGGTTCCTGCTCAATGCGCGTTAAAATCCTAATGCGGATTTCCACATCTTCTAGATTCTTTAATCCACAGATAAAAATCAAATATTTAAATTAATCTGCTGTAATTTCATTTATTTTAAATCGTTCACCTTCTCAATTTACTTTTCCAGCATAGGTTAGATAATTATCAGATGGAGGTTTTGATATTTGAAAACACTGATAGCGAATGTTGAGTAGTGAGGACTGTTCACGAAACGTTTTGGATAATATTTAGACTGTAAAATTAAAACACGAATTTCAGCGAAAGGATCTCTTTTCAACGAATTTATTATCAAGTTGTACAATCGTATATATATGAAAATTTTGATTTTGTATTAGGGTGAAATCAACATATTTACTAAATTCACGTGTTTTAAGTCTTCTCAGAAGTAAGCGAGCTTTAGCTGCACCATCTGGATTTGGACATTCGACACGGAATATGTCTTTAAAACGATGAAACCAGGAATCGAATTTGATACCAGATTCAAGATGATAGATGAATTCACGAATGGAATTTGCGGTGCTTTCAGATTTATCCGATTGAGAGATTGAAGTTGAATAGAATGAGAGCTTGTGCGTTAGTGCATCCAAAAGCTTCATTTCATTTACATCACTCTGCGTTTGTTGAATTTGTGGAATAGTTTTAAGGTCGTCCAAAGATATAGACATTTTGTTTTGGATCAATCAAAATAAAAAAATCTTCGTGGCCACTTTTGTTACGTCCTTGATCTGTCTATCCAATAATATACAGAAGACAATTTGTATCGATCAAGACTAAGTCCTTGAACGATAAGCTAACTGGCCTAACCTTGAGGCTAACATGCTTTAGATCTCATTGCGGCTAACTGCCCTGAGGTAAAGAAATGAAAACTATTCTATCACCTGATTGGTTGGCAAGCGAGTGAGCGAGAGAGAAAACGAGTCAACTGGAACACTACTCGATTTATTCCCGATTCTGGTCCAGATTAGCGTAAAAAGACACATGAGTAAAAAAAGTGACTAAAATGACAACTCACAAACGACTAGAAAATACAACTGTGTCTAAAACTGGACATCAAGGTAGAAAATACAGCTTATGGTTTGTAGAATAAACTAGAAACGAAACCAAATGTTAGTGTTTTACAAGCTTCGAATTAAGTGAAACAACGTCCTCAAAAAAATCTCCTGTTGTTCGTCATGGCCTCTATGCTAGCCGATCAAGAAAATGACCACTTTCTGATCCATAAAAGTGGTGTATCCGGTTCATTTCATAATACGAGGTAGTCATCGAAGTCCAAATTATTTTTCTATGACATGTGTGGCAGTAAATAAATCCCCAAAATAAATAGTTCTGTAATTCTTCGACGTTTGATGCTGACCTCATTGGTTTAACTAGGCACATCTAGCTGAAGGCGCTCGGTCACTCATCTACACCAGATCACGAATGGGTACGTTATGCTTGTTGTGGATGCGGAGGAATAGACCAATAATTATCATGTTAAGTCCAATGGTGTCCTTGGACTTTAAATGGATATTTCCTATTGGTCGATATCTGTTCACTTGTTGAATATTGTACAAAATGTTGTTTTCTATTTTTATGGTACGATGTGGTATGCTTGATTGGTATATAAACAAAGTATGTTTGAAATATAATGATTCATATCTCAGAGGTTGTGACTTGTGTTCTGGACTCAACTGACTGGGCTAAACAGGGAAGTGGGACCAATCGAGACTCTAGGCCGTCCGTTCGTGTTTACGTGTAATTTCAATCAACTTCACTGATGAAGTAAACTGAATACTTTTGTGAATCTTCAGCATTCACGAGATTAGATGGGTAGTACGTACTCATTGTTTGTATCATAGATATATAACAGTAATTTTATAGATGATTTTTGCAAATGTTAGGATAATGGTAACACTAAAATTTATGGAAACTGAGTGATGTTAAAGTGACCTTGAGGGTATTACCTATGCAATAGGGTTGAGAAACGGCTGTAAATAAATTTGAGGAATTAAAATTAGCAGTTGAATTCAAAGTTAGGTATGTATTAGAGTTAGGTTCCCATCATGAATCGACATAACATAAGCCATAATGCAATTCAAACCAAATGGATGAATGAAGTCTGCGTCAGAATATATGACTTTCAATCGTAGTTTTGGTTGGTTTGTTCTAAATTCTAGGCACACCCTATCGACAAATCACGTTAACAATAACGTCGATTCAAAGGTCGAATAAGTAAGTGATTGAGAAACATGTATTCTGACATTTGATAAACCATGGAAGTAATCAGAGACAAGAGAAATACATGAATGATGTTGCGTAAACAGCCAACTTAGCAAATAACAGGTGATTCAATCTTTTTAAGAATGAGAGACAGCAAGTAAACAAACTCATACGTACTGTTTTACAAACAGTATTACACTTAAGTATTTGACATGGTCAAATATATGTGTGACAGAATAACTGGGTTTATTAGAATAACTAATGTGTTTGAACGTTAAAACAAATCACGTGGACGTGTGACAGTGCTAATTGGCACAACGTGCCCAAACAAATTTAGATTCAATGAATTAAACAAAGTGGATATGACTGTAATTTCATAAAACTTTTCTCTGTTTCAATGACCTAACCTTCATGATCTTGTAGTGCACCCCATATATACTTGGAACATAACAATTTACAACCCTATCAGGAATTGTAATAAAAAACCGATACAAACACTTGTATGAACTTTTGGTGCGTAACTACAGTGGTAGCATTGTAAATAAGCATACAATATTCTTGATGTTCTATCTAAATAGATTTTTGCATATCAATGCTTGCCTGTCTCCGTTTGTTTATATTATCTTTGTCTATTTGACCTATGCATTGATATTATTACCGAACCATACATTAGATTTCAACT